CCCCCAAAAAAAACCTGGGTACGGCCATGATTCCCATGACTTCTTGACTGAAAATCAGAATTTAAAAAATTGAACGCGTGTTTGTGCATCAGTAAGGGTTCTGTTAAGGTGAACAATCTTTATTTCTGAACTCTATTTCGACCTAGCTTTCATTTTGCAGCTCCTTTGGCCTACAGGGCCCTTCTTTTACACCGAGCCCATAGTGTACTGGAACGACGTTCATGCCTTTCTGCCTTAATATCCCCTGTGGCAGCCTCCATCGCCCATGAGAACTGCTTTTTTTCCACTCTCTGTCTGTCAGAGGAGCGGAAGTGTTGCCTTTTCATCCATTATGCATTTTGGCACCCAGTCAGTCATAAAGCGGGCACAACACCTCGCTCCAATCGCTCCTTAAGCACACACACCCATCTCACCCAGTCTCTCAATCACCTGCGACAATAACGTGTCTTAATCTTCTCTCATCTGCATGGAGCTCACGTGGATTTATGGTAATTTAAGCATAATACGTCAACGCACATTGAAGGGCTATTGAAAATCTTGAAAACTTATTAAAGTGCTCATCATTTTCCAGGGAACCATAAAGATATTAGTCGTGTGCTGTGTTAGCAGAATCCATATTTCAAACAAACAAGAGATAATGAACTGTGAGCAGCATAATCATGTACACGTCCCAACTGGCCTACAATGGGATTAAACGCACAACATGACTGAAAACAAATTCAATATTGTTCTTCTGGTTAATCTAATGAGCCGGTGAGTAGTATGCTACCATAATACTCGCAATATTTCTGAAGTATATAGCATTAATAATGTGTGCAATACATTCTGGATGCATAGAATGACCATGACCTCCTACATTTGACAACATGTGTAGTACACAACAGAGAACGATGCACAGAATAATGTATATCCTATAATGCAAAGCACTCGACTTGACTTTCCATTACTAGTGCGACAAATGAACCAGAAATAATTACAATTGTGATTCTAACATCTCGCCAGGGAGAGCAAGGCTATTCTGTGTTACTTCAGAAGACTTGGAACATGGCTGAAAAAAACGGTATGATAAAAATATAAAAGAAAGCTAGAAAAAAGAAAAGCTAAATTGAATTATTTTAAATTATAATTAAATTAAAAATGTTAAATGATGACACCACTCAGTGTGGAAAGATCATGTGAGAACAATGACACATACTACTGCTTTGAAATGTTTATCATTGCATTGTTTTACTTGTTTTGAAAAATAGTAGGCAGTATACAGTATTTACTGTGCAGCATTAGTTAACAGTAAACACAAAGCCATAATCATGTCTAGAACATTAGGGGGGACCAGTTATATATAAGATTTAAAAAAGAAGAAAAGAAATAGAACACTGAAGGAAATTCCATGTCTAATTCTAGTTGGGAAGTAATCATTTTGAACGATTTCCAGATAATATGACAAAAATATAATAAAGATATAAGACAAAAACGCAGAACGTTGCATGTATCGTCATATTTAGGAATTAAGCCTACATGAATCACGTAAATGGTACCATATTTTCAATTTAAAAAGGCCGTTTTTAAGAAAACAACTTGAGTAGTTTGCATCCCTGGATGTTACTGTCGGTCGTTTGACAAAATATATAATTTATACTAAAACAGTTGTCAAATATTGTATGTTTTTCGCTACTTCAATCTTACCTCGCTGTCTTTCAACGTGAAAACTGACGCTCGCTCTGGATATAGGGTTGCCAGGTCTGCGTAATAAAATCAGTCCAATTGCTACTCAGAACTTGCCCAATCACGGCCAAAATTATCCCAATTATCACGTTCCGGGGGAAACTGGCTATTAAAATGGCAACATAATCGCGTTCCGGTGGGGTCCTCCTCAGTCAATATTAAAAAAGTAATGCGTTACTTTACTAGTTACTTGAAAAAAGTAATCTGATTACGTAACTCGCATTACTTGTAATGAGTTACCCCCAACACTGGAGATGATTCGCTTCAAACCTCGCACAAAAAACGACCAAGACAACAATATAAAAGTAGCTCGCGGACTTGGCAACACGCTCTGAAATTCGCGCTTTGCTTCTGTGAACAATAAATCCCGCCTACTTCGATTTGATCGGCGATCTCTATCATTCTGACAGTAACGAGCGCCGTTAGACCAGGCTAAAAATGTAACTTTTAAACCTTAGTCATCATAATAACAAACAGAGTGCAGCGTAATGGCGTGCAGCAGATTTTACAATATTAAGGGGACAATTTGGCCATTTCTAATTATTGATATCGACTTGTCCCTCTCATGTTTATGGTTACGGCCCTGAGTAAACTAGTCCGACTCAAACCTTTCTGACTGAAGCCACCGTAAAACTGCAAGGAAAATTCTGTAAGGTAACAGTTTAAGAGATATAAGCTTCATTAACCTTTAATAATTTAATTTAGATACATTTTCATTATTGTTGACATTACACAATATATATATTTACAGGTCATTATGAAATATCATTAGAATTTACAGGATTTTATACAAAATTGCCTGACAGATGCCTTGATTGTATGATCCAGATCCTTCACATATTGTTAGTGAACTGAAGTGATAGTTACAGAACCATACATTTCAGAGTTGCAATGATCGGTTTCTTGCTTAAGTTCAACTGGTGCGCTTTGAGGCCTTTGAAAAAGATTCAGATCCTTCGCTCCAATTTTTAAGAAGCAAGATTGTTTTCATCAACCAAAGTCTTCGACATTATGAAATCTAATACACCAAAAAATACGTTTAAATAATGAACCATAACATTAACATCTGATAAATATTGAATCAGAATTTTTTTTTTTTTTACCATGATGTAATATCAGCTACTAGTTTTCAACTTATATCTATCGATAGTGTTAATGGTTTACAAATATATTGCGTCTTTCTTCGTTGAGGTTCACTCGCCTCATCCAATCTCGAAACACTCGAGAGATGTTAAACAGCCAGCGGCTCACCACACAAAGTTTATACAGTGTAGAGATGAGGACTGTCTAGCATTTACACGGCCTAGGTACTGTTGACACAGTCCAACCACCAGGGTAATGGTCCATGTCAGTCCGTCCTTGTCCATGGGATCACATATACGTCCTTCGTCGTGGCCCAGCATGTTCATATATACCCTGCATCAGATAAAACCTTTGTTTTAATAGGGCTGAGTTTCCTTGTTGGCCCAACATCAAAAAAAAAAAAAGCAATAGTAAAAGGACCTGTTGTGAAAATACCCTGTATGGCTTCCTGACAGAGTCTTTGCATCCTGCAAACTCATTTGAAAGAACAGAAGAACCTTTAAAGTGTCAACTGAAAATGCATTGTGCTCCAGCTCTCTGCAAGAGATAAAGAAAACAAACCAAAGCATGCTTTTAAAAGATATCTGATACACAGCTTAACTATAGGAAAATAGACTTTCACGACCGACTCCTTTTGTAAAGCTTTCTCGGATGCAGTTGGCTACGAAGTAAACATATACTAACCCAAAAAACAAATCCTTTAAAATATATGCAAAGACAAGCATAAATATTTGATGCACAGAGTAATCTACATATGACAAATATAAGTGGTATATTGAAACTCTGGAACAAGCCCTGTACTGCGTGTTTTTTCCTCCGGTTGTGTCTTTAGAACGAAAAAACTAAATCCTGATTTTTTTTTTTTTACTTTGACCATCTTTCCGCTATATATTTGAAATAAATCAGCAAAAGGTGTATTGTTTTATTCTCTTTTTTTACTCTTCTTTGTTTTCTCTTTTGGTCCGTTCTGCTCTGCGGATGCTTTTAATGCACGTAGTAAAGCCAGTAAACTATGTTGAAGAAGGAAAACACGGTGGGGAAGATCATCCTCGACCACTTGTCGATGGAGTTGACGTCGGACAGGTCCGGGATGTTGACCTTGAGCTGGGAAGCCCGTCTCCTGAGCCGGCTTTTCTTCTGGGTGGCGTGGCGCTCCAGCGCGCTGTGGCCGTAGTTTTGCCGAGCCATGGCCGCTCGACGGTACTGAAGGGTGGAGCTGTCGTAGGCAAGCATGGTGCTACGCGGGTCACCCAGACTCCGGGAAAGATCAGACGGACCCATTTCGTTCTTCATCTCAACCGTGGTCAGCCGGATATCATCGGGGGTCATCTGGAGAGAGAAGCAACATTGTAGGATCAGGTCTAGTTAAGAATCACTGTCATCAAATGGTGCATTATTGAAGAGCCCTCTATACATTATATTTGCAAAACCAGCATTTTTCTGAGATCTGTGGGTAGGATATTTTCAAAACACTGTGTATGCAACTGGAATCCGCCTTTTAAAATCACAGACCGCAGGGTAATGCTGTTTTTGCATATGTCGAAATGATGCACAATGATGGATTTCATGAACTAGATGTTGAAAAGAAGTGGACTGTCCCTTTAAAACCATGATGAATGCAGTGCAACCATAGTAAAAGAATCGTCAGCGATAGTTACACTGCACTCATGGTAAGCTGTGGAGTAAAAGCGTTTCAGGCAATAATATCCAGGATTATTCACGAATTTCAACCATGGCATGGTTAAAATTCTGTCTGCGTATAAATCAGCCAAATAAATGCAAATAAAAAAGGCAAAAACATGAAGGCAGAAGTCTAGATCAACAGTGAGGAGTCAGGTTGCAGAGATGGAGGTAAGGAAAGCATTCACTCACTTTCACTTTCCACGATAACCTTGCTTGCTTAAATTTGATTTTATTTAATTTTTCATTTTAAAGTTTCATTTTAAGCATTATTATATCTTAGGCTGCTTAATAATCATCAAAATTGTCCTACAAAAGCTACGTAAACATTGCAAATGCAGTTTGCTAAGCGCTAATGCTACTGTAACAAAGCGACAAATGTTGCACCTGGCTAGTGATACAATTTATCAGTATATATATTCGTATAATCAAGACTAACTAATACCTAACCAGATTAAGTGTTAGTTCCCCATTGTGTTGTTCACCTTGTCAATAGATTTTCTGCTTTGAACATTCAGTAGGCTAAATATTGTGTAACAGAAGTTTGATATCTCACATGCTTTAAATTGTATTATATTATATACATTTATCTGCATTTTATTGACAATCAGCCACTTGGTTTTTATGTAGACAATAATCTTGGCTATTCAAATTTTACAGACCTTAATTTATGTTTATAAGTAATTACCCCGAAATCAAATTCAGTACTCTGAATGTCCCATAAGTGAAGTCTCGTTCACACCAAGAATGATTACTGTAAAGATATCTACTGTATAAGGATAATTCAGTTAGTGTCCACAGCAATGCATGATATCATTTGTTATAATGATATATAAAAAATTATATTGTTATATATTTAAAGCAGGATGGATTCTGATTGGCTGCCAATGCTTTTATCGCTTCGACAATATCACTCTTCTGCAGTGTTGGGGAAAGTTAGTTTTAAAAGTAATGCATTACGATATTGAGTTACTTCATTAAAAAAGTAACACATTGCATTACTTCTATGGAAAGTGATGCGTTACATTTCTTTTGTGTTACATTGTGTCACCTGGCCTGGGCTTGATTATTAGTTTTTTTTTTAAATAACAAAAAATCCGAAAAGTTATGTGTTTGGCAACTTAATTTGAAAAAGTAACTCGTTTAAAAGTAATGCGCTACTTGAAAAAGTAAACTGATTACGCAAATCACGTTACTTGAAATACGTTACCCCCAACACTTTTCTTCTGTGTTGTTATAGTTGTAGTGTGGACCACCCTATATTCTCATAGAATTTGAATGATTAAAATTTCTTAAAGTTATCCTCCGTGGTGTGAACGGTCCTTTAAACTAATAAGCATCCACTGCACAAAACGCTACGCTCGGCAATCAAACAGGAATGGGCATCTGGGAAAAAGGCTCGGATGCAAACGATAACTGAAAAAAGGGCAGGACAACGTAATGGTGGAAATGATGATGGCTACCATCATTACTCTAAAGGAAGAACAACAGAAAGTCATCCAAAGAAAGCATAAGAATCAAACAGAAACAGCTTGGGTGTGTTTACTTCTGGTTGGTTATCGATGCAGAGCCATTGCATTTTTTGTACCATTCAGTACCTTAAGTCTTTGATCGCCTAGTCCTAATGCAGCATCCTCCGCAAAGATCGGATCCCACATCGAGTCATACCCGTCAATTTCCCTCTGTTTCATTCTGGCATAGAGAGCATCGTCTCTCTGAACTACACTTCCCACCAACCACTGCAAGCATACAAAATCAGTACAGTTACAGAGGTCGGCTGCACTCAGAGAGAGACACAACTCTTTCAGTGAGATTAGAAGGAAAGCCCTAGAGGCTCCGCCAGCCGAGAGTCTCTTGTTTACAGCTAACAAAAGTCTGCGCCGATCTCCCGGATATTTCACCACATGTTTCTGAGGGTAAAAGCCCATTAGGTTGCGGCTTGTGAACAAGCTTATGCCAGTGGAAAAAATACAGCTATGCATCCGGTGTTTTAACAATCTGACCCTGAAAGAGAACCGACCACCTACTGACCAGAGGCCTTTGTCAACAAACCCTAAAGACGCGTGAGGTGTTTGTGTGTGTGTGTGTGTGTGGAAAGCTCGGCAGTACCTTGTTGGGGTCAGGCCTGAGTTTCTCATTGTTGGCCGTGGCGGCTTTTTCCGCCGCTTTCTTCTGCCGCTGAGGGCCTCTCCCGAAGAAGATGTAATTGACGAAGGCGTACTCCAGCAGCGCCAGGAACACAAAGACAAAGCAGCACATCAGGTACATGTCTATGGCTTTCACATAGGGAATCTTGGGAAGGGTCTCTCGCAAGTGAGTATTAATGGTGGTCATGGTCAGCACGGTGGTGATACCTGGAGTTCAGAGAAAGCATTCAGGCATAATTAAGTACAGCTCAAGTCAGTTGCAGCTTTATATAACAAGAGAAGTGAGATGTAATTATCCAGCAAGCGCTGAGTAGGAGCTGCCAACGGAGAAATTACAGAGGTTATTCATGTGTCATCTTCCAACTTGAAACCATTATGAAAACTTTGACAACAATCGACTTGAATACAATGCGCTAATGCAAATGCAAATCGAAGAGGTTTGCCGCGAGCTACGGCGCTTCCAGAGAGAAGCATTGAGATATACCTAGAGATGTGCTTTTCGATTTAAACGAAGCACCATTTCGGGTAGCACTCATGAACACTGTGGGATGAGTTGCATGATGAAAATTAATGCTTGGGTTTAGGGGTCTGTTCGCTCTCATGTAACTCGCCTCACAAAGTTCTCGTGGCATCAGTGGCACTTCAAAATTTGCAGCTTGTTGATGCTATTATTAAGCAATCCGACTGAAGATATTTCGCAAAAAAAACCCCATGGACTTACAGCGAAGGAGGGGCCTCTTATGCTTGCCAAGGCTGCATTTATTTGATCAAAAAAAGCAGTAAAAACAGAAATATTGTGAAATATTATTACAATTTAAAATATCTGTTTTCTATGTGAATATATAGTAAAATGTAATTTATGTCTGTGATCAAAGCAGAATATTCAGCATCATTACTCCAGTCTTCCGTGTCACATGATCTTCAGAAATCATTCTAATATGCTGATTTATCATCAATGTTGAAAACACTTGTGCTTCTTAATACTTTTGTGGAAACAAAGTGATAAATTTTTCAGGATTCTTTGAATAGTTCAAAAGAAAATCATTTATTTTAAATAGAATTTGTAACATTATAAATGTCTTTACTGTCCCTTTTGATCAACTTTATGCATCCTTGTTAAATCAAAGTATTGCTTTATTTTCAAATGTATTATAAAAATAATCTTTTGAATGGTGCATGTAAATTATAAAGAGTCAAATCTAGTTTTTCGATGGATTATTGCCTCTAAGCTCACCTCTAACCCATCTGCCAAATTAGTCAAAGAACAATTCATCCGCATTTCTCCCATATTCCTAAATGTTTAATTTGTTCATCATCCTCATCATCTCCGTTTGGTCAAATTCACACATACATAGCAAACACGTTCAGTGTAGAATAAAGCAATAAGCCCCGGGAAGCCGTGGTTTACAGTGAATTTATAACAGCTAAGGGGCGTTGTTAGGTACGACGCGAAGCGGAGTTTTACAAAACGGTTATTCCATATACGTAGTATATTTCACAAAATAAAACAGAGCAAATAAAGTGTAATGATATTAATAAAAACATTATTCTTCCGCCAAACAATGTAGTTCCTCAGAATCGTTTGTGGTTTCAACAAAGTGGTTGCCGAGCAACACACAAAGTAAACAAAGGTGTATGTTTGTAGAGTAATTTACAACAGCGTTGAACTTGGCTCAGCCAATCAGAATCAAGGACCGGAACTATCCATTTTATAATAATAATTTTTCCGCATATTTATATGTTTTTTGTGCAAAACAACTTTATTAACATTATAAGTAAACCTCAAGAAACAGATTTTTAAAAATCCATGTCATGACCACTTTAAATACTACTCTTATTTATATAAAATAATATTTATTGAATAATAATATTTAATAAACAACAACAGCCATCATAAAAGTTGCTAGGCAATTCAGTCAAAAGTACAAAGGCAGCACTGAGCAAATAAAGTGTAATGATATTAATAAAAACATTATTCTTCCGCCAAACAATGTAGTTCCTCAGAATCGTTTGTGGTTTCAACAAAGTGGTTGCCGAGCAACACACAAAGTAAACAAAGGTGTATGTTTGTAGAGTAATTTACAACAGCGTTGAACTTGGCTCAGCCAATCAGAATCAAGGACCGGAACTCTCCGTTTTATAAAGCTCAAGCAATTCATTCTGAAGCCACGTAGAGAAACCGAGACGTCAAGTCTGTAACACAGCCGCTGTATTTCTGTTTAAACAATACAGCAAGGTTGAGACATGTGTTTCCTTGTCACATGCCCCTCACTGCAGACAGATTCATTCTGACAAGTTCACCCAAACACAAAAGGCCCGGCTCCCTATCATCAGTGATCTATTCTCCGCCGTCTCCCCCCGAAGTATCAGCATCACAAGAAACCATTTTGTCATAATGGCAGGAACATGGCCCTAGACATAAAACATGTCAGTAAAGAGCGACCAGAGGAAAGTTTGTCAGCTTAATCAGCAGTAATACATCAACGCAGATCAGCAGAGGCTACAGAGCACTCCTAATAGAGTTTGGAGCTGAGCACTGACACCGCTGTATTTTCACTGGAGTGAGGCAGATTTAAGACCCACTTGAGTCCAAGCATCATACAATTTCATTTGCAATTTGAGCCTGCTCTTTTGGAGCACAGGCAGGTACTGCCCAAAGGAAAGCACAACCACAATATCTAGTTCCTCCTACGCAGCAATGCGAAAAAAAGAAGATTCATCTCATGATTGTCTCCTCTAGAGTTTCAGACGAGATGCTTTAAAAACGTTTTAACTACTCTGATTTGAAAAAAATTTAAATACCAAAGATCTCAAATATGAGTCATAATATGATAATATGAAAGAGCAACCGCTGAACAATTCTCTTCTTGGGGAACAGATGTACTAAGATCACCTTGATTTTTGCCAAGATATGTTCCTGAATCAACCCCCAGAAGACCTCAGAGGATGCTGCTAACCCTCAAACAACATATAAAACTACTAAATTGTACCTAATCGCAACATTTACTCGCAAAGTTTAATCGCAACATATAATCATTACAGTTAATTACAGTTAACAGTAATTTGTAACTAACTGCATGATTCTTACTGTACATTTCTGCCATAGTCACCACTAATAACCTACTCCTAAATATAACTAGAAACTACTTTGCAGCGATTTGTATTGTGAAAAGCACTACACAAATAAACTTGAATTGAATTGAATCACTATCTTTTGTTGATCCTACATGGAAAACTAGACTGCTTGATGCATATGTCATAATAAACGAGACACACTTTCAACAAGTCAGATTTGAAAAGTCCTAATCTGTTTGGCAAACTTCTACCAGATTTCTGAGAGCCTAGTTTGTGTATACATATCATTAGTATGTACAGTTATGTGTCTTATTAGTTACCATACTGTAAGGACATGCCTGTTTGTAACCACTTGTCCGTAAGTACTACATATTTACCATGTATATACATTAGTAAGTACAGTAAAGTATCTAATTAGTTACCATGTTTGGGCACTACCTGTAAGTGACGGTTATTACCCACACTTGTCTGTATGTACAAAATAATTACCATGCATGTACGACTGTTAAGTACAGCCGTGGTTCTTATTTGTTACTATGTACATACACTTCAGGTAAGTACCTTGTGTTACCACTCATTTGTCTGTAGGTACAAGATATTTGCCATGTATGTACCAGGGAAGTACACGTACTGTAAAATAAAGTGCTACCATCCTATTGGGTTTTGTAGAGGGAACCAGGGTGATGTAAACTTCCAGGTTAACCTACAAAATGATACCATCACTGCAGCACGATATAGGAATGTTGTTCCAGGACCAACAAGGATGTTGATACAGAAACACATCTTGGCAAAATCACAGTCACTGATGTATTACTCAACTGCAATGAGAGGCAAACAGAAAAGAGCCTGTAAAACAAGTACCGGAAATCCAAAGAACCATCATAGCTGATCCCTGAGCATACAAAATAAAGACACAGTATAAAATGGTCACCATAAGCACAACAAATACATCGCATGATCAGATGTCCCACCTAAAGCCACGCGGGCAGCAGAAGCATCGTAGTTGATCCAGAAGGATACCCAGGACAGGATGGTGATCAGGATTGAGGGCATGTAGGTCTGCAGGATGAAGTAACCGATGTTCCTCTTGAGTTTGAAACTCAGAGACAGACGAGGATAAGAACCTGGTCCAAAAAAGAAAAAGAAGGACGGTTTCATTCATGCTCTCTAGTAACATCTAGTAATAACCATTTTGGAATTGCTGTAGTCGTACCATACAAAGTTAGGGGTGGTGTGTAAAATTGTAAATGTTTATAAAAGAAGCATTTTCTGCTCACCGGGGCTGCATTTATTTGATCAAAAATGCAGTAAAAAAAGTCAAATATTATTGGAATTCAAAATAACCGTTTTCTATTTTAATATATTGTAAAATGTAATTGATTGCTGTGATCAAAGCTGTATTTTCAGCATCATTACTCCAGTCTTCAGTGTCACATGATCTTCAGAAATAATTTTAAGTTGCTGATTTGCTGCTCGAGAAACATTTCTGATTATTGAAAACAGTCGTGCTGCTTCATATTTTTGTGATGCATGATTTTTCAGTTCCCTTTCGAAAGGGAACTCAACGCTGCGTCCTCTAGAGGGCACTAGGGGACTCTGGCGTTGAGTGTAGCTAGGTCTCCTCTCGCTTTAGAGAGTCGTTATGCTGAGACCTCCACTCTTGAGAGTCCCTCAACTATGGTTGAGTGTTGTTAGGCTTCCTCTCGGTTTAAGAGAGTCATTCTGCTGAAGCCTCCACTTTGCATAGCTCCGCTTAGGCAGTATTAATGTGTAGGCTCTTGAGCCTCACTAACTGCCCCTGGCATTGAGTGTAGCCAGGTCTCCTCTCATTCTAGAGAGTCATTATGCTGAGACCTCCACTCTTAGAGTTCTGTACTTTGGTGGGTGAGCTAGTCTACGACGCTGGTGAGCTTGAGCCTGCCTGTAGAGGTTGTGGCCTTTCTTTTTTGAGCCTCACTAACGGCCTCTGGCGTTGAGTGTGGTTAGGTCCCCTGTCACGTTAGACAGGCGTTAGGCTGAGACCTCCGCTCTTAAGTGTTACCCTACCAGGGTCGAGCGTTGTTAGGTTTCCTCTCGTTTAAGAGAGTCGTCTTGCTGAAGCCTCCGCTCCCCAGCAGCGTCTCGTTCCCTGTTCTCAGGGAACCATGGTTACATGCGTAACCTGAGACGGTTTCTTTGATAAGTAGAAAATTTAAAAAACAGTATTTATTTTAAAATCTTTTGTGATGTAGTTAATGTCTTTACGGTCACTTTTTATCAATGCAATGCATCCTTTAATCAACTTAATGCAATAATGCATAATTTCTTTAAAAAAAAACCTGGACTGACCGTTATCAATAAACTGTTGTTTTTAGCATCAGTCTTTTTCTTGTATTGCAGAATGCTGATCATTTTAGTTTGATCATTCAATGCATTGGTCCATATCATTCTGCTGAAGCCTCCGCTCTCCAGAGCTCCGCTTAGGCAGTATCATTACTTCGTAGGTTCTTGGTGAGCCTCGCTAACTGTCTCTAGCGCTGAGTGTAGTCGGGTCTCCTCTCATTTAGAGGGTCGTCATGCTGAGATCTCCACTCTTGGGAGTTTTTCTATTAGGGCTGAGGGTTGTTAGGCTTCCTCTCGTTAAAGGAAGTCATCCTGCTGAAGCCTCGGCTCTTCAGAGCTCCGTCTTTGCAGTAATATGAGTTTATTGCAGAATGCTGATCATTTTAGTTTGATCATTCAATGCATTGGTCCATATCTAGTAAACACACAGGCCACCTCAAATATATATTTGGTGGCAGAACAGGTCGCAATAATAAGCGACGTGTCTGAGAGTGTGGGTAGAGTCAGACAGCCAGACTGTTCCTGTTATCTGTTCCTGAAAGGCAGACCAGTGATGATAATAAGACTGCAGAAAAACAAATTATGTGCACTTACTCACATGCTTACTCATCGCATACATCGCTTCAAGGTTTAGCAAAAGGACACTGTAACTATATATGCATGCAATAAGGTCTGCACCACAGCATTTCAGCTTGTGATGTTTTTGTGGATAAATTGTAGGGATCATACCTGGCCGGGGCGTATATCATCTTTCTGTGTGCTCACAGATGTGTGTATAACGACTGTTGCACATGAAGCCTTTGAATGTATTAAAAATCAGAGCTGGGTAGTAACTGATTACATGTAATCTGGAATATGTCATCAGATTCCAAAAAATAAGTACTTGTAATTAGATTATATTACATTTTAAAATACGTTTTTTTTATCGATTACATGATTACATATTATTCACTCAATTGCAATAAATTATTTATAATTTATTGATTTTCCCTAATTCTTCTTTTTCCGTCTTTTCTAAAATAGCCAACCGCTTATATACATTCAGAAAGTCTTCCAGTTTTGTGGACGTTCACACAAAGACCCGTCACTATAATTAAACAGAAAATATACAAGCCACACAGAATTTGACCACTGGATTTACAAAAAACATTTCCGTTTCAAGAAGTGTTTTCTCAGCATTACTGATGAACAGCACATTAAATTATGGGTTATTTAACCATGTATTTCTATGACTTCGGAAGGCTTTTGTCTTCAAATTCTGACTTTGTGTCTTACTTCCTTCTGCATCCAAGCTTTATGAGACTCTAAACAGAGAGAGAGTTGATCCTCAAAAACGTTGATCATCATCCTCAGATTGTCCATTTGAATATCGCATATTTATTTCTATGACTTCGGAAGGCTTTTGTCTTCAAATTCATTAAAATGCACAAATTCACGTTATTTCTTATTTACATGTAATGCAGGGATTCCCAAACTTTTTTGTGTCATCTGAACCTCTTTCATCTAATATATTTACTTGAAGTACCCCTGCGATTTTAAGGTAATAATTTAATAATTAAGTAACACATTTGCATCTTCATGGTCCTCTGATGTTGGTTAATGGTCAGATGACATCAGGAAAACTAAATACTTCATCATTTTTAGTATGTTTTTTTTTTTTACTGTTATTTTAAAATGATTTATTTTAACTTTACATTTTTATGATTTAATTAATTATTAACCTTTCTCAGTCTAAACTCGTGAACCCCCTGCAGTTTCTAGTTTGGGACCTTACAGTAATGTAATGTTTAATGCACTTGTTATTAATGACAATGAACAGAATATATTTTCTTTCTCTTTGCATTTTTATTTCAATACAAGATTATCCTATTTAAATCAATGTGATAAATGAGTAATCAAAAAGTAGTATGATTATATTACCTACATGAGTAACAGGGTTGTAAATATCACTCAAATTACATTACATCTCTAAATTACATCACTCAATAGCTAGTTGTTGTTGTAGTTTTTGTTATATTTCCCAAAATTTAAAGATAAATATTTATTCAATGTTTTTTTCCTACAATATTTTGGGTAACAGGGTTGAAGGTTAATATTGACAAATGCAATCAACAAGAAAAAAGGAATAAGGTTGTTTATGTGATCCAAATTATGTAACTTTGATCATGCAATAACCAGTGTTACTTTAGTATCATTGAAATGCTATTATAGTTTTTATAAATATTTTGAATCTGTTTTTATTTTTATATTTTTTTGTTTTCAAAACAAAAATGTTCGTTTGTCTCAAAAACGTTGATCATCATCCTCAGGTTGTCTATTTAAATATTGCATATTAGTAAATATTATAAGAAATGTGTTTTACATTAATTAATGGGGTTAGATTTGTTTTCAACCCTGTTACCAATATCCGTGACATGTCTAAATACAGTTTAAAACATTTTAGAAATAAATAGACAAAACTTATACCATTAAAAATAAACAAAACAAACTAAAAACGATGCAAACATGAGTAACAGGGTTGTAAATATCACTCAGATTACATATTACATCACTCAATAGCTAGTTGTTGTTGTTGTTTTTGTTATATTTCCCAAAACTTAAAGATAAATATTTATTCAATGTTTTTTTTCCTACAATATTTTGGGTAACAGAGTTGAAGGTTAAGATTGACAAATGCAATCAACAAGAAAAAAGGAATAAGGTTGTTTATGTGAAAATTTGTTTATGTGATCCAAATTATGTAACTTTGATCATGCAATAACCAGTGTTACTTTAGTATCATTGAAATGCTATTATAGTTAATCTCTTTACATTTATTTGTGGATCATAATCTATTTATTTGGAATAAAGCAACAATTCTACCCCCATAATTAAACAACAGTGAGAGAAAATCACACTAAATCACTTTTGTAACTTTAATACGGAATTGTATTTACACAGTGAAAACTATGTAAACTACCTTTATTTTTAAGAGTGATACATGATATATATCGTCATCGTGATATAAAATTACTCATATCGTGATACGTGACCCTGGAGCACAAAAGCAGTCATAAGTCGCTGGGGTATATTTGTAGCAATAGCCAACAATACATTGTATGGGTCAAAATTATCCATTTTTCTTTTATGCCAAAAATCATTAGGATATTATGTAAAGATCATGTTCCATGAAGATATTTAGTAAATTTCCTACTGTAAATATATCAAAACTTAATTTTTGATTAGTAATATGCATTGCTAAGAACTTCATTTGGACAACTTTAAAGATGATTTTCTCAATATTTAGATTTTTTTGCACCCTCAGATTCCAGATTTCCAAATAGTTGTATCTCAGCCAAATGTTGTCCTAACAAACCATACATCAGTGGAAAGCTTATTTATTCAGCTTTCAGATGATGCATACATCTCAATTTCGAAAAATTTACCCTTATGACTGGTTTTGAGGTCCAGGGTCACATATAAGATTTTGGAGATTTTAAGAACCCATTTTCTAACATATCCAACAAATATGTGTTTTAAATACTTTACATAAACCAACGGGCTACCAAATTGCATTGTATTCATGGAAAGTGCAGTATATATATTGTCGGTGACATTTAGATTTCAAAACAAGTGATCATTAAATGATGTAAGGGGACAGCTGGTTATGAAACAGACACACATCCACATCCGTGAAGGAATCTGTGTGTTTGCTTGTTCTCCGTCCTCGTTGAGGTTCCTTCTCCATCTGGGTGCAACTTATAATGAGAACCAGTGACCTATTTAGTGTTTCGAATAATTAACGATGAGCTTCTGATTTCTTCATATTCAAGGGAGTTATCTCTGCATGACTTGGCAACCAGGTACAGACTTAAAAAGGCCAGCAAAGCTGTAGGCCTCATAAAGCATTAATGCAGCGACAAAGATAACTAAACACGGCTTTCTCCTTCGGTTTAATGGGCCAGAGAGCAACGTGATGTAAATACGACAAGAGCTTGAGCCATGTGACAGTCATAAGATGTGTTTGGTTTGGTTGCGTCGTGTTCACCTCGCTGTCTGAAAAGGCTTTTAAATGGTGAGAGATGAAAGCAAGAAAAGCATGAGAGAGCTGAGGACTCTAGAGAAAAATGCTGTTGGACTGGGAAGGACTGGTGTTTCACTTTCCATGAAATCTATTATCTCTGTGCCACCGCGTCTGATTCTGTCAATTGACTGGCTGATTACTGTCAACAGATCACATCACTTTACTGCTACGGCTCCATTATTCCCTCGGGCCTTGAGAGAAACCAGAGAAAAGGGAATCAGAGGTGAGCGACTCGAGCGCGGAGCTTCTGCTTTAAAATCTGCTTCTGAATCGCGGCCATTAAAAATGTATCAAGTTGATCAGCGAAAAGGAGGCTTTAGCTTGTGTCTCATTAGCTCGCGTGAAACGCCACACAAAACACTTCTGCACAGATACGCAGATGAAAATTACGGGAAAACACGCAATTGTGAGCGTGAAAGGGTTCAGACATGGGAAAGGAAACGTGAGTGTGGGAGAGAAAGCGAAAGAAAGCCGGGTTGCCAGGTGTACGCCAGTTGGATTCTATTTAAATTAGAATTTTTAAAAATACATTCCATTTTTCATCTGCACACATATGAGACACTTTTAGAAACACTTGTTGGTATTAATGATCAATGTTTGAAATTATACCTAGAGAAATTTGTATTAAATGTATATAAATTATCCATTTTTGTTTTATATATTTATATTATATTATTTATTTAAGAAATTACATGAATATTTTGGATGCGATTAATTGTGATTAATCTTTTGACAGTACTAATATATATATATATATATATATATATAGGCTGTAAATAAATAAAATTAATTAATTAATTTGCATATTTGGTCAAAATTATTGATGTAATAATTTATGTTTTGACTAATGAAAATTCTCTTATTTGAACATAAGTTTCATTGCAACATTCTGTGGGGCATGTGGCCCAGTGTTGCCAAGTCTGCAGTTTTCCCGAAGAATTGAGCTACTATTATACTGTTGTTGCAAATTGTTTTTTTGGTTTGTTTTTGTTTTTTTAGAATGTGATTTTGGACCAATTTTTGATAGCCAATATTCCCCAGAACCTGATTGGGCTTGTTTTTGGCAGTGATTGGCCAAGTTTTGAGTAGCAGTTGGGCTGGTTTTGTTATGCAGACCTGGCAACCCTGATGTTGCCGATTAAATTTAAATGTACGCTTAAGAGACATTCCTTAAATTCAGAATTTTGCGACACCTTTAAGAGAACAATGCTATTTTAATATCACTGAGATACCATTATAGTTTTTATTAATATTTTGAATTTGTTTATTTTGTAACTTTTTATTAGTTGTTATTTATTATTTAATTTTTATTTATTCGTTTTTTAATAAGTCTATGCTTTTTATCTACTTTTATTTTAGTTTTTGTTATTTCAGTATATCAAGTTAAACTAATTGCAAATGAGAAACGCTGCATTAGCAACTTGATGAAATAAAATAAGCCGCAATTTCAAGAAGCGGAAATGCTTTTTATGGTTTTAGTTTTAGTTAACTATAATAACCCTGAGAGCGAATGAGTAGAAGAAGGGAAAGGAGGGCTGGAGCAAGAGAAGGAGGCAGAAGGAGAAAACAGCGCAGTGTATTGGTAGCTGGTAGTGTTTCTGTGCTGCTTAATGCTTCTGGCAACTTAATGATGAAACGAGAAGCCTGCGCCGGAGCATCACATCACAGCGCTGTAATCCAGCACTCCAGGGACAGAGATAAACACCGAGAAGACCTCGCATTCTTCTCCTGTGTCTTTCAGTTTTATTACAAGAAAAATTGCGTTACACACAATTACAGGTAATAATGACAAAATAGAAAGCCCATTCATCTTGATAAAGAGGGAGATGATTAGCTGTTGTTATGGCTGTAAATGCATAATTTAGCACTGCTGTCATGGCACAGCTGAAAAACAGATCATCAGACGCGTCTGGGTAACACATAACCCATAATCGCTTCAGCCTATGTTTTTAACGTACTTTACTATTTAACCGGTTCTGTAATATCAGGTTTCTACAGAACAGACACCATTAAAGCACTGTGTGTTCAACAAGCAACAAGAGGGTTCACAGGTGGAGTGACTCTCTTAAAGCACTGCTTGCATCAATTATTCAGCTGTTTACTGCACAGCCATTCACTCTCAAATGCAAAATGTGCAGCATTTTAGTTACAGTGTAACATAAACATGAAATTACATTTGTGACCATATTATTATTATTATTATTATTGTTATCATTATTATTATGATTATTATTATTATTATCATCATCATTCGTATTATTATTATTATTATTATTATTAATGCTATTATATGTATGGGACAAATATAAAAAAAAATGTAAAACAAAAAAATACCATGATAATAAAAATTATTATTATTACTATTACGTATTTTATTTTTTAAATAATATGTTCAGTATTTTATTATTTAAAAAACAAAATAAAGTAAAATAAAAATAATTCTCCATACTGTTAGATAGTAAATAATAATAATAATAATAATAATAATAATAATAATAATAATAATAATAATAATAATAATAATAATAATAATAATAATAATAATAATAATAATAATAATAATAATAATAATAATAATAATAATAATAATAATAATAATAATAATAATAATCATCATCATCATTATTAATACTATAATATTTGTGGCATACATAAAAAATATTAAAAACAACAAAAATATAATATAAATTATTATTTTTATTATATATTCTATTGTTTTAATAATATTTTTCAATATTATGTTCTGCATTCTGAAAATAATAACAACATCAACAACAATTATAATAAAAACTATTACATATTTCATAATAATATACTATTTATAAATTAATATTATTATCATTACATATTATACATTACATATTATGTATTTTATTGCTTTTATTATTCATAATAATAATACTACATGTAATAATTTAATAATGTTATGCTTTTATAAAAAAAATAAATAAATAAAACTTTTTAAAATCTGGTTATCAGTTCAACATCAAAATAATTATTAGAAATATCTGTCCTAAAAATACTATCATTTGACGTCTAGACAGATGGTGTGAATCTGAGAATCACTCACAGCTCTCGATCTCCAGTGTGCAGTTCTGCTCATCCAGCGGGTATCGCCGCAGGTCCATCATACAGGCCGCGGTGGTGGTGATCCTGAATGCAGAGCAGAGACAGGGGACTGTGGGGATTACACCAGAGACGAGGCCCTCCTCCCTCACATCCACACTGCTGCTCACACGTCTGTCTGGATGGATCTTACCATTCTATACATGATTTCTGCTATTCAATAAAATTGAGAAATTCTATCAAATCAATTCTTTAAAGGGGTCCTATTATGCTTTTTCACTTTTTCAACTTTAGTTAGTTAATGTTGCTGTTTGAGCATAAAAAAGCTCAAAGTCCACTTCAAAAGGAGATATTTTATTTAACAGAAATCACTTTTCAAAAACTACAACGAACGACTCGTTTGGACTACAATGCATATTTTCTGGGATTTGTGATATCACAAATACCGATGAATGGGACGAGACCTGGTTGAGCTGCACTAGAGAAGGCAACGGAGACATGCTAGCTTTCCCAAGGCAGATGAAGTTAGAGTGGTTACAATCATCCGGGTTTAAATCGCGCTCAAATTGATTTGATTTTGACGTAATATTTACACTGAAGCTCGCAGGCGGCTATGCCAGACTGGGGAGAGAGGTGTTGTAATAATGTAAATATTTGAAAAATAATGTTTTTTTCGAACAACCTAGTATGAGAGCCTGTTCTAGTACACCCCCAAAACAAAATCAAGACTTTGTAAAAGAGCATAATAGGACCCCTTTAAGCTATATTCCTGTTGCTCAAACAGTAGAGAACAGCAAGGTCAATGGGTTTGATTCCCAGGAAATGCATGAATATAAATTGTACACCTTCAATGCAAAGCAAGTTGTTTTGATGAAAGTGTCTGCCAAAGGTAAATAAATGAGCAAGTATTAATCTTGACATGATCTTGAGTGGACAACCAAGATTATTACCTGAAGACCTGAAAACTGTCTGTCCTTTGGGTCTGACCCAACTGCAGCAGCGAAGCTATTTTCACAGTAAATGAAAACTACAGTTTAATAGATGTCTCTGGACTTCATGTGGGTTGTTAAAACTTAACCTAAAAGAACTGCTTAGCTTTAATAATTCAGTACACAACTCAATTCAAAATCCTTTTACTTGAATTCTCCAATGGACATGAGTGCAACTTCACTTCTTTTTCTTTTCTTTTCTTTTCTTTTTCAGTTTTCAACCTGAACCAAACTGTCTGTAAAAATGACGCTCAAAAAAAAAAAAGTATATGTTTTTACTTTTTGGAAGACGACTCTTATACTCAAAAATACAGTAAAAATAGTAACATTGTGAAATATAATATTTAAAATAACAGTTTTCTATCTGAATCTATGTTAAAATGAAATTTATTTCTGTGATCAAAGCTGTATTTTCAGCATCATTACTCCAGTCTTCAGTGTCACATGATCTTCAGAAATCATTCTAATATACTGCTGCTCAAGAAACATTTCTGATTATTATCAATGTTGAAAACAACCGAGATACATATTATTTTATATATATATAAATATCCTGAATTAAAAGTAACTTCAATATAATAAAGCATTATAAATATAAATATAAACATTTGGAATTTTAATAAATCATTGTATATTTCTACTTGATTTTGTGAATTAGCATCAGTCAATTTCCATCATGATTATTTAGTTAACATTAAAAAGTCATGAACTTGTCACTAACTTTGATTTGATTTAAAGCAGCACTTATGAAACTGGTTTCAATTTTTTTGCATTTTTTACCGTATACACGAGTTAAGGTTTGTCAGTATAGCGAGAACAAGGCTCATCTTTTTCTTTGTTCACCATTTGGGGTCAGTAAGTTTGAAAGAAATTAATACATTTATTCAGCAAGGAATAGCAAAAAAAAGTAATGTTTCAAGGAAAAGCAAAAAAAAAAAAATGTTTCAATAAATTCTGCTCTTTTTGATTTGATGTAAAGCAGCCATTAAACTTGGGTTGCATTTTTTCCGTATACAGTTCTGGCTTGTCAGCAATCCTCATCTCTCTCTTGGTTCCCGGTCATAAATCAGCATGCCAAAAACATCAATACTCCCGAGGTTCCTCTGCACCGTCCCACAATCACAATTCCACAGGAAGCACTGGAAGAACTGGGAGCTCTGGGAAATCAGGAAATTAGGCCAAGATGGCAGAGGTAAAAATTACAGGCTATTTATAGGTCGCTACATCATCAGCAAAAGACTCAGTGCATTTGGGTGTCTAAGAGATGGCTAGATGAGAGAGTCGTTGGAAAGCTGAGGACAGTTCGAGGTGGACTTGGTCTCTCTCCATTCGTCCATCCCTCCTTCTCGCTCTCTTAACATTGTTAACCCTTTCTCAATCTCTCTCATCTCTTAACCCCCTTTCATCTTCTCCTTCTCTTTCCATCTTCCATCATACAATACATCTTTTTTTCTCTATGCCGGCATCTGTTTTCCATCTGTCTAAGAACAACTGATTAGACACTACTGTTCAAAAGTCTGGGGTCAGTAAGATTATTTTTGTAATAAATTAATGCTTTTATTCACCAAGAACGCATTAAATCGATCAAAAGTGACAGTAAAGACATTTATAATGTTGCAAAAGATTTAAGCACAACGGTTTTCATCATTGATGATAATCAGAAATGTTTCTTGAGCAGCAAATCAGCATATTAGAATGATTTCTGAAGATCATGTGACACTGAAGACTGGAGTCATGATGCTGAAAATTCATTATTTTTAAATTGTAATAATATTTCACTGTTTTTACTGTAGTGTTGATAAAATATGCAGCCCTGGTGAGCAGAAGAGACTTCTTTCAAACATATATATTATTATAATATATATAATATTATATATATTCTGTTTGAAGAAAATATATAATATGTCATTTCTGTTTGAAGTTTTAATGCTTTTGAATTAAAACTTGTAATAATTAACGTTATTTCATCAATTATTTTGTCTCGTTGTGGACTTGCTTCATACAATTATAACAGGTGCTACTAGACTTTTCCTTTAAGCACACATTATATCTGACAGCCAAAATAATTAATATGATATAAAGGACAAAAAAAAAAAATATTAAAGCAATGACATTATATATACCTGGATGTGTTTTTTTGTCAGAGTGGGCTAATATGATTTCTTTGTCAGGTGTTATAATTGCCCCCAACCATTGCAAACATTGCAAAGTTATTTATTGCCAAAGACACGTTTAGTTTACTGAAAGACGGTAGGTATATTTGTAGCAGTCTGTGAGTTAGGAAGAAAAACGTAAAAAAGCTTTTGCCCCCAGTCTCTCTTACTCATCTCTCCATTTCTCTGCTCTCCGTCTCACTGTGACCTGCTGCTTACTGCTTGATTTGTATCCGCTTGAAGAGGGCTTGGCTCAATATATTAAGAGCAGAAGGAAGCTAGGCCTGACCCCCACCGGTTTAGTGCCGCTTAACGCCTCTGGCAGCTTGTATCAGCTTGAAAAGGGTCTGAGGAATAAAAGTCGGAGCTGTTTACTCTCCAGTGCCGTTAGACTGCTACTTCCCTGCATTGAAACCCACCAAGGCCGAGATCTTCTCATCCACATACATTCAAGAGCGTTCTTTTTACCAGCACACTAGACTTCATCTACCCATCTATCACCGGCGGGCCGCAGCGCTACGGTTTCCCCGCGCACCGCACAGGTTCATGTAAGGGTTGGGTACAGACCCCAAGGCAGCATGTGTACCTTTATTCCAAACGACCTTGTTTACTAAGGCTTGTGCTGCAACACACCACGCAGGGGTCTGACTAAATTACATTATGAGGGTGGAGAGAGGACGAGCTGAAAACACAGCAGCCAAAATGGTAGTCCTGAGTTGGATCAAAGATTTCGCACACTTAACTAGATTGTTTGTTTTTTTTCAACCCTCTGGTGTTGTTCGGTCATTCTTGACAGAAACATTTTTCGTTTTTTTTTGTTATCTGAGTGGTATGAAACTTTTTTTGGGAAAAGGTTTTGGCACTTGCTTTGTGAACACACACACACACACACACACACACACACACACACAAAGAGTCATGGACATGATTCAAAAAGATTAAATGGTCTTGCAAAAAATAGTCACAGGTAAAAAATGATCGCATTGGAAATGATTGGGAAGCGAATCTCAACTAGTGGAAATGTTTGGTACTGCATCCAAACAAAATCTTACTGGAAGCTCATTTTTTGAGATATCAACCTCAAATTTGGAACAACTTCCTTAGATGTATGGACTTCACTTTCATGCAGGTTTAGAGTAAAACATATTTTTGAAAATATATATTTCATATAAAATTGAAAATTTTTTGTGCATTTTTCATAATAATAAACTCAAACTAATATAATTTTTTTAAGTGTCACTTTTATTTTTTTTTCACTTCAATAATTATCTGTATAATCCAAGTATAATCCTTTAACAAGATAAATCAGCAAGATTTACACTAGTTTAAGTTGGAAATTCCATTATCAGGTTTATGCTGAAAAACAGGTAATAAATGGATTATAACTATTCCATAAATATAAATTAGTACCATAAATTCCGCTAAAAACACAAAACATTAAATAAAAATTAAACTAAAATATAGTACATTCATTTAATTGAAATAAAAAAAATCTGTCATTTTTGACCATCATGCAAACAACAGACAGTTAAAAGTATAGCAACTGTTTCGATGGTGAAAAATGGTCTCTAGATGAAAATTGGCTTGGTGACATCATCAGATGTGGAAAGTCATTTGAGTGCACATACATATACTGTGCACATACGGACTAGGAATGTGCATCAAGAAAGTGTTTCTGAAAAGCATAGCATTAAAAGCACCAAGGTCAAGGGTTTGTTTCCCTGGGAATGAATGAACTAATAAAATGCATACTTTGAAAGGAATATAAATAAAAGCATGTGCCAAATGCAACATTTCTTAAATTAAATAAAAAATGAAAATTAAATCAATGCGCACATACACACTAGGAATGTGCATTAAAAAAGTTTAAAGCATAGCATTAAAAACACCAAGGTCATTTGCTCAGTTTCCATGGAAGGCATGAACTGATAGAATGTGTATAACTTGCTTTGGATAAAAGCGCGTGCCAAATGCAAAAAAAAGTAAATGAAATCAAGCCAATTTAGAGTTCATGTTGAATTTAACCAGCAAAGATGTGTTTTTAAAAACATAAATTTGCAGAATTAAAAAAAAAACAGAGGCAGAGAAAGCATGTGTCACATCAAGATCAGAGCATTTACTTTTATATTACTTTAATATATATATATTTTTTGTGATCCTGCTAAGCCACCATTAATAGTATCAGACTTAAATGTGTGAGAGAAGGACATGGTATTGAATTTTGCCACCACTTCAGAAATGCCTCTCCTATCTGAGTTTTCCTGTTGCCGCTGGTATATTCACCTACCTTTACACAGATAGATAGCACAGGAATGTGTGCTTATACAAAATACAATAATGCCAGCTATAAATAGAAGCTGTCCTATTCTGCCCTTAGACATCTTCAAGTTGCTGGAAAAAATAGCACCAGCCAATGCACTTCACCTCCATATAATAGGCAACCTTTTCTGTAAATGAGAATTAATGATCATGTCTCTGTTTTATTGTGTGGCTCATCCACTGTAAATGAGAGAGTAAACAGAAGACCTCTTCTTCTCTCAGTCGCTATGTCTAGTAATTTAGATTTGCGTTAAGAAGCGTTACAGTGCAGTTAGGGCCACTTCTGTCTAAATGCAGTTGACTAATTTAGGAAATAATAGACTTACTATTATTTCCTAAATTAGTCAACTGCATTTAGACAGAAGTGGCCCTAACTGCACTGTAACGCTTCTTAATTGGGCCTAGTACATAGCCTTGTTGAACACCTCATAACGTGTGCTTACTGAGTTATGCTGTATGCTAAAATGCTGTGAATGTGATACATCACAACACAATAAGCTGATCACAGCTAAAACTATACGTGAAATGTTGGTTTAATTCAGACAGATGACATTTTGTTTACATTTAGACAAATGAGTCAGACACTAGTCTCAGCCTAAGATAGTAAAGATTTATTTATATACATTGCACACAAAAGCAGAAGGCACTTTTTTGATCTGGCAAGTTTGATCTGATTTTACACAAATTTCAGTTCATATGGGAAAAAGTAGTGTTTAAAAAAGTACTACACTTATGAAACAAATAAAAACAAAAACAAAAAACATGGTTATTTGAGTTAAATCACAAATTAACCATGTTTTTGCTACATTAACCATAGTTTAACCATGTTATCTGTAGTAAAACTGTGGTTAAACAAATGATAATCAACCTGCCAAAAAAAAAAAACCATGGTTACTAAACCATGGATATTTTTTGTAAGAGTAGGGTCAACACAATGCATTTTTAAGAAAGAACTACCATTAAGAAAGTTAACCACGGTTTTATTATAGTAAAAGTGTAGTAACCATGTTTTTTTTTTTTTTGCAGATGGATTACCATTTGTATAACCACAGTTTTACTACAAATAATATGGTTCAACTATGGTTTGTGTAGTAAAACCATAGTTCATTTGTGGTTACCATGGTTTAACTACAATAACCAAGTTTCTTATGGTAGTACAACCATGGTTAATTTTCATAAGGGTTGAATGATACTAAATTTTTGTTTGAAGCATTCATTAGCAAATAAAATATATCTAAAAAAATAAATAAAAATTAAATAGGTATGACTTTGCATGTCAGTCTGACAGTCCTTTGTTTAAGTGGTTGACTCTTGTCCAGAATAAGTAGCCATATGAATCAGTTACTTTAGAGTTGATTTTAGATGCTCAAAATCAACATGCATACTATACATCAAAGAACGTTTCTTGTATCTTTAAAAGCTCCAACCATTGAAATTTGAATTTGAAACTAAATGAATATGAAAATGTCTTTGGTATAATAATAGAAAATGTTTTGACATTAATCCATTAAAACAAGGACGACACAGACTGCTAAGCCATAGCATGATTCACTTGTTGTATTATGACTCAGAAACTGTATTTAAGCCTGTGTATTTTCATCTCCTGGCCAGCGTCCGTGTTATTGGTTGAAGTCTTTTAGGAGCAAGACAATCAGATCTACCTGCCTGTGCTAAATTGTCAGACTGGGCTCTCACAGACAGCTATAGAAGAGCGCTGTTATTTTCTTCTTCTCCTGGTAATTGAGGAACATGCTTTGGCAGGCTTAGTGGAGCAGGGCACCCAAGGAACACGGACAACACACCCCAACTCATCACAAACACAGAAAGCCCATCTTCCAACACTCTTTTGTGTCAAACTGCAACAGAGCACAGATTCGCACTAACTTTCAGATGTCACAAAAGAGAACGCTCTATTACTGCCTCCTCAACACATGCTCACACACACACATGCTGTCTCACATGCGAAGGTCTCCATTGACAAAGTAGTGCGATGGCAGTCCCGAAAGCAATGTTCTGCGGGCCAGGTCACGGCACTCTCACACATTCCCATCAATGTTTCATCATGTGCATTTAGTGTTTCTGCACGCAGTTTCCCCTTTTGGGTTATGTAAAAATAGCTTATGTAATTGGGCACTTACATAATGAAGCGTTATAAATTATATTTATTGATTTCGGTCGCCTTAATAGCAGTGAATTATCTGCTGCAATGCAGATTTTTAATTTTTAAGCGCTCTTCTGATAAGGACACTGCTGTCAGGCTGAGGAACGGTAAGCACAATGCGCAGCTTTGGAATTAGCAACAACAATTTCATCCCTTCTAAACATAGACAGCGATGTTGAGTCATTTACACCGGCATAATGCATCAGCAGCCAGGGAAAATAAAAACAGGCCTCTGAACACATCGTGAACGCGTTATGTGGGTGGTTTGCAAATAGGTTGCACGGACAGAATGATGAGAGGAGTCAAACATGATTACGGGTCGATAACGACAATGGTGATGACCCCAAAAGACGTACCTTAATCCGTAGAGCACGGTGCCGTCGGGATGCAGGCGTATCATTCGGTTCTTGACTGTCACTCCGTGAACGAAGGATTTCTTATCGTTGAGGAAGTAGGTGTCGGGCACCCACAGCTGGTCAGCCACGCGGTTATCCAAGGTTAGATTCAGAGGGATCTCTGTGTACGACAAGCGCTTGTCTCGCCAAGCCTGCTGGAAATACATGGTCAGGGTGTAGTCCTAAAAATAAGAGGAAAGTTTGGAGAAGATGAGATCATGAAGGCTACTGAGAAAATACAACATTCTTCCCACAGATAATTTTAGACTGGCACTCTATTCATTTACTAACTTGCTTGTTTTCTTTTTTTTTTTTTTAGACTGACACTAGCTTCTCTAATCTTTTTGTATTCTATCTATCTGTTTTCTTTTTCTTTATTATATAATTGAAAAAACCCTTGCTAAGTGTACTGTGTTAAGTTAACGGAGACTTGTTATAGCACTTGATTATCATTGCTCTCTTGTTGATGTTGATTGCTTCCATTGTCCTCATTTGTAAGTCGCTTTGGATAAAACATCTGCTAAATGACTAAATGTATTTGGGTTTTAATTTTATGTTCAATTTGATGTTTCCAGGTATTTAAAGAAATATGGGCATGTACTTTACACTACGAACATGCAACCAACACTATAATATTTTTAGATGTTTACACCAATATTTAATATTAATAAGACTGACGTTAATATTTAAACTAAACTGTGATTAATATTTAAGTATTTAATATTAATATTTAAAATCACACTGTAAAAAGTGGTAACCTGTGAGCGTTACTTTAAGGAGCCCTTTCCACCTGATAAATACTTTGAATATGTTGAGGTCTTTTTTATGTATTTAAAAGAAATGTCTGCTAACTAATAACGTGTTTATTTGATCAGAAATAGAGAAAAACAGTAATATTATAAAATTGTATTTTACTATAAAATAACTATTTTCTATATATTTAAAAAATACTTTCACATGCTGTTTAATAAATATTTCTTATTATAATCGATGTTGAAAACAGTTGTGCTGCTTAATGTTTTTGTGGAAACTGTGAAATTTATTTTTCAGTATTCTTTAAATAAACAAACATTTGGTAACATTACGGTCACTTTTGATCAATTTCACACATGCTTGAAGATTAATAAATTACATTTTAAATGTAAATAAGATTAATTTAAATGTAAATGATAACTTAAAATTTAAATTAATTTAAATTAAAATAAAAACATTTATTTGAATTAATTCATTCATTTAGATGATACTACATGAAGCAAGATATGTTTATTTAATCATTTTTAGTCCCAAGTCACATGATCAAAACCTCATCAAGCTTATAAAATAAGAACTAATAATACAGTTTCAAGAACATATATTGTCTCTTTGATTAGTTACTACTAACTCTTATTGAGCTGCTTTTATTAACACTCGCCATCTTTCAGATCATTAGTCAACAAATCCTCGTTAAACACTGCAGGTGGTGGCAGGCTTGCAGATGCACCTTTTAATTTAACCCAGCTGAGTGCTCACTAAAAACCTCCTCGCTCACAAATCACTCTGTGTTTCGAGTCATTACAAGTTCATTTCGATTCGGATGTGACCACAAGTGATGAAGTCCGAGTGTGTGAGATGTTTGCTCTGTAATTAGCCCATCTGTTTGACACATTATGTTGAGGAGCTGCGATCGTGATAGGCTGTTATTGTCCCACTGACAGGCTAATCAGCCAATCACAGTGAAGCATCTGCTGTATGATTCCCAGGATATAAATTATTGATATCAAGAATAATATTTTTTACTGGTAGAAATTTAATTGCTGATATCAAGAATAAACATTTTAACTAGTGAAAATTGAATTGTTGATATCAAGAATTCATATCCTGAGAATGAATAAAAGTCAAAATGGCTTGCCATACTAAACACACCTGAACACACGCACACACACGCCCCAGTTCTCCATGACAGATCACATACACAAATATAACCCCACTACTGCACTACTACTTGTTTTGCACCACAGTTCTGTTACTGAAAAGTATTTAAAAATCCTTTCTAGACTGATAAGAATCCAAATTATTGATAACCAAGATAAGACTACCGGTCAAAAGTTTGGTATCAGTAAGACTTGAATGTTTTTTAAAGAAGTCTCTTCTGCTCATCAAGGCTGCATCTGATGCCTCGGGCGACAGAGTCCCCTCAGCACTCTTAAAGGGACAGTTCACCCAAAAATGAAAATTTACTCACTTTTAGGCCATTCAAGATGTATGTGGCTTTTTTTTCTTCAGTAGAAGAGTAAAGAAGATTTTTAGCTGAAATCATGGTTGTTGGTGGTTCTTTAAATTCAAGTCAATGGCTATTGCCACTTTGAAAGTAAAAAAAAAGCATATCAAGGAACACAAAATGAATCCCTGTGGCTCCTGATGATATATTGAGGTCTTATGAAGTGAAACAATCGGTCTGTGCAAGAAACTAAACATTATTACCTGTAATGCAGAGTCTCAGACAAACGGTCCGGAGTGATGTCCGGTTCACGAGCGAATCATTCTTTTGAACCGATTCTTTTTAGTGAACTATTTGATCCAATTTACCAAATCGGACTGAAGCATCTGAAGTTACTCGCTTCAAAACTTGCTTTCAAGACGCCTGACAGTCACTCAAAATGAGCCATGTCTGACTTACTTTCTGCTGTGCAACTAAACTGTTTGGTTACCAATTTGTTTCAAAACATCTTTGGTGTTCAGTGTTGGGAAGTAACTAGTTACATGTAACTAAATTACATCATTTAATTACAAAATAAATGTAGCTGTAATCAGTTACTGAGAAAAAAAATTGTAATTAAATTACTTATGAAAATGTTAATGATTACAAAGGGGGTTACATCTGAATTTTTCACAAACAGATTTAGTGGATTTCTTTCATAAATTGCAGTGGCTGCTCTAAAATATGAGACACCAATGTTTCAGGAGTTTGGGACACTTTTTTTTTTTTTTTAGTTTTATTTCCAATTTGGGTTTATGCATATGCTTTATTTTTTAAGATTAACTGTTTTTTTGCCCGTGTTTTCTGTTAAAACTATGCAACGATTTAATTTCAATATCAGCATCATAGCTATTAAACTATTTCTTGTTATGATTTGAAACCTGTATTTAACCTCAGAATGATCTCAAAGTCAAACAAAGTGCTAAAGTCTGATTTTGTGGTGGCTGTGCTTTAAAATTAAATTATCATAATCTTAATTCAAGTGAAGAAGTGTTGAGTTCTACTGTAAGGCTAACCCAGCCAGATTTACATGTCTGAAAATGATTAACAGTTGAAAACATTAGAAATTTAGAAAAGTGATCAAAAAGTAATCAAATGTAATCAGTTACATTAATAGAGTAATTGAAAGAGTTACACTACTTGTTACATTTCAGACAGGGTAACTTGTAATCTGTAACCTATAACATTTCCAAAGTAACCTTTTCAACACTGTTAGTGTTCCACATAAGAAAGTAAGTCATAGAGGTTTGGACTGACATGAGGATGAGTAAATAATGCCAGTATTTTAATTTGATCTGTTTAATGATATCTGCTTACTGAGAATAAATTCCACATTGAAAGCTGATAAAATAAAGTAGAATTTAAAAATATATAAAGACTGTATTTCACTAAAGTGATATAAAAAAAAAAAAAACATTAGTCACCCTCATGTCGTTCTAAAGCTCTATCACTTAAAGTGCGTTCCATTCGACCGAAAGTGAACTGCAAAGTGGACTTCACATATAATCCATCATCTTAAGTGTGATTCCAGTCTGAAGGGAGCGAACATGTTCAGTTCAAAGGGCATAGGGAATAAGAGTACATCGATACATCACTTCACAGCAAGTGGAGAAGGAAATTCACCCAGCAGTCAATGCGCAGCACTCCAGTACTTAGCTTGACTGAAATAAACAAAATAAAATGATTTGAGGCTTCAGCATTTTGATTGAGTTTAATTAGTCCCAGGTGTGATTTATACTTGCTTGTTGGCGGGTATAAAGTGCAATGGTTAACTAAGATAAAATACACATCTAATATTTCATAATGAAGTTTATTTTATTATTAAACAACGCAACAGACATTTATCACCCAGTTTAGCAGTGCCAAATATGACACTTTGTATGCATTAAATGAATAACACATGAATTTGTTACATACAGATATATATTAAATGAAAGTATGGTAACATATTACATCTATGAATTTACTGAATTAACTCATTTTGTCAACTTCAACAGATATCCCTTGCTCAAGAAACGGGGAGCAGAGAGTAGTGAACACTGCATAGGGAGCCTGTCAATTGGAACGCAACTTTGCTTTCCTTCGAGGGAAACGAAACGAGACGTTTTGAAGAATATTCATGCTGCTCGCAAGCATAAAATGAAAGCGGATGGGAACCAGGAGCTTTTAAGCTAGAAAAAGAAAAGAAAAAAAAAACACCTTAAAAGTGATCCGTGTGCCCTATATTTAACTGAAATAAACGATAGTTTTGTGTGACATGAAAAACAAAAGTCACTAAAATACAGACCTCAAAACTCATTCACATTTGGGTCCAGTGTTGGAGGTAGCGCATTACAATTAACGCAAGTTATGTAATCAGATTACTTGTTTCAAGTAACTAGTAAATTAAAACATTACTTTTAAATTTACAACAAAATATATGAGTTACTTTCTCAAATAAATAACGCAGTTATTCACTGATACCTCTCCTGTCCCCATGTTGAGAAGGACAAAAAGTTACGCAAAAGCAACGCAATGCATTACTTTCCATTAAAAAGTAACTATGTAATGCATTACTTTTAAAAGTAACTTTCCCCAACACTGGTTATAACAGGTTTGACATCAGTGGCATCAACTGTCATTGTTTGATGTGCATTTCATGGATACAATAAGCCAGATTTTCCAGATTTTCAAATAGTTGTATCTCAGCCAAATATTGTCTTATCATAACAAACCATACATCAATGGAAAGATTATTTATTCAGCTTTCAGATGATGTATAAATCTAAAAGATGTAAAAAAATTACCCTTTTTTTGTGCTCCAGGGTCACAAATAAGGTAAATGTCATTCTGTTCCTCACACAAAACAAAAACTGTATCCAAGACGTGTGGACCACTTTAGTTTTAGAGCTTGACAAACCTGGTCAACTTTAATCATTGCATGGAAATGAGCAACATGAACATTCT